CTGGATGCGTTCACGCTGAGGCTGAGGTCTTGTGGTTAGGGGTGTTGTGACTGTCACAGAAGAGTCAGATTGGCTTAGGTCCCTTCCGACTTCCACGGTCTATGATGCTGTGAAACCTGTGCCTGAAGCAAGCAGAGGAAAGATAGAAGCTGATTCCAAAACAAAAAGAATTGTTTTTAAATATAAGCCTTGTGTCTTGACAAAAATTTACTTTTCTTTTTTGAGACAGAGTCTCACTCTGTTGCCCAGGCTAGGGTGCCATGGTGTCAGCCTAGCTCACGGCAACCTCAAACTCCTGGGCTCAAACGATCCTCCTGCCTCAGCCTCCCGAGTAGCTGGGACTACAGCCATGCGCCACCATGCCCGGCTAATTTTTTCTATATGTATTTTTCGTTGTCTAGCTAATTTCTTTCTATCTTTAGTAGAGATGGGGTCTCTCTCTTGCTCAGGGTGGTCTCAAACTCCTGAGCTCAAACCATCCGCCCCCCTCGGCCTCCCAGAGTGCTAGGGCAATTTACTTTTTAAATCAACACATGATGTTGGTTTAGAAGGTTCAGGCACCTTCCACCCCACATTTCTAAAATTTCAATGGCAAAGAGCTTTGAGCCCCGCTGAGAAGCACAGCTTTTCGAGATTTGCAGCAAGAGTCTGAGTCCAACCTCCCGTACCTTGCAAGAGCACAGCATGGACTCAAGGGCAGCTGGAATGTCAGCAGGCTGGACGAGGAGACCCGTGCTTGTTCTCTCCTGCCACCTGCTGGCTCTTCCCTTCGTTGCTTGCTTCTCTCGGGCACTGGTGGTGTCCACTCAGGACGATACATTGCCAGGGAGCTGCTCCTTCAGTGGCTCGTACTAAATCCAGGAAAAATCACAAATTCATGGAGGAGACCCAGAGCTCATTCTAATCCAGACCCCTCCAACACTGAGAGCTTACAGGCAATGCACAGTCCATAGGCAGGCCTTGTTTGGCCCACACAATGTTGAATAGTTTTGAGCCAACATATACAAATTTGGAAATGTTAGCTAAAAATCCAGGTTTGCAATGTATTATGTTACTGTAAATTCATGAAGTCTCAAAGCAGAGAGCAAGAAGGGGTGAGCACATCTGCACTCCAGTTGCAAAGACACACTAATTCAGGATGCACCAAAGGATAGCAAAACCAGTCACCACAACAGCTATACGAGAAACGATACCTCTAAATGGCTACACTGAGGAAAATCCACAAGCCTAGGGAAAAAGAGCTTGGACCCTTCTGCTCCCACTACCCCAAGCCAAATGAGGAGCCTTCAAGAACTTGAGGGTGGTCCTGGGGTGTGGGTGGGTGCAGGTTTACTGAGTGTTTGGCCTGTTTTACCGCAAAGACTGATGCTGCTTCTCTGCTGGCCAATTCTAAAGGCAGGAAACTAGCTAGAGCTGCCCACAATGGCAGGATGAGGATCAGTGGTAGCAGCTGGCCAAACTGGACTTGCCTCATTTGGCAAGTGGAGTTTCCCTCTGGGGAAGCAGAGGGAGAAAGCCGGGTTCCAGGTGAGAGCCGATTGTTGAGACTTCGCTGAAGAGGGCTGCCGCCAAGGCACGTGGACTCGAGTCGGAAGGGGCGGCGGGTGTGCCACTCGTGACTGGGGAAGGATGCACGGTTGCAAGGACTCAGCTAGGAAGTGTGTTCGCGGATCAGAGAACTATGCCACTGACGACCCTTTTTAATGCTCCCGAAGAACCGACAGATGGGAGCATGAAGAACCAGCACTGAGGCACCTGCTGCATTGTGGCCACCAAAAGCCAGATTCTAATAGAGCCAGTCACGAAAGACTCTCCCCTTTTCCCGCAGCCCCTACCCTCTGCCCATCGTGGGCTAATCCCCTTTAAACCTGCCTTCTCTGGCCTCCACCCCAGTCCTGGAGGAGCGGTGCTGGGAAGAGGCAGAGTGAAGAATCAGACCTAAACTAGAGGTGGGCTGAAGTTTTGATTTGAATGAGTTTTTCATAGCTACAAGGGAATTGTCATTTTAAAATGGAATAGTTCTTATATCAGAAAGTGATTGGAAAGTCAACAGAATCGGATCTATTCATCTAAGATGTCATTGAAAGGTGGGGAGACAAAGCAGAGCCGTGTTGAAGAAAGTGGTTGGGACAAAACCGCCACTTCCATTTTCCGGCCAAGTTCAGCTCCTTGATGCACGTTCCTCTCTGGCTTCCCTAACAAAACTTGATTTCCCCACGGCGATACTTAGCCGAGCTGCAGCAGCTGCCTGTTTCAAAGAGCAGCACTGTCCTGGTATTGTCATCGCTACCTGCCCTGCCCTCCAGTGCTGGAATGTACAGTCCCTGCTCTTGTCCTATTCCTCATCTTCTGGCAATCAGAGCAACAACCAGAGGGGATAAGTGACTCGTCTTAAGTCACATAGAAAAGTGGCAGAGCTGTATTCTAAAATCCACACCCCCGAAGGTAAAGTCTAGGCATGAAAATGGCATGTGGCTCCTTTTCCTTCCCTACACTGTTCACAGACAGCCTCGCCCACGTAACAGCTGCCCTCGCATCCTTTCAGGGCACTGGAGGCTAAGGCAGCAGGCCCCAGGCGGGGAAATCAAAGGGATTGCCTGAGGCCAGCCCTGTTCCCACCACCCCTCTGCCCCTCACCCACGCATACACTCGCTTCTTCCCCACCCTCAAGCACAAGCTGAGATGAAAGCAAGCGGCTTTCTCACTTTGATGCATTCTCCACTGTCTTTAGTTGGAACAGAAAATCCATCCCGTAACTCGGTGTCCAAGCAGAGGCTGGTTTGTGGGTAGGACACCAAGGGACTCCTAATCCTCTGTTCCTCCCCATTTCTGAACTCATTGTCTTCCCCTAAACCCCCAGAGGCCTGGGAAGCCTCAGGGAATTTTCTCCTGGATCACAGGCCCCAGAGGGGAGGGCAGAGAGGAGGCCCCTCCACAGCTGAGCCGCAGAAGCAGGCAGACCCCCAAGCTTAGCCTCGTCCAGATCTAGAGCTTCTGCCTTGAGTTTAAACAATGGTAGCATCGGCTGCCCCAAGGGGGACTGGAAACACTTTTCACCCTATACCCTTTTATACCTCTTGAATTCTGCATCATGCGTACCTAGCTGTTCACATACATGAAAGAAGTTTAGCAATTCTCCCTGACCCTGAAGGCCAGGAGGGCGGACAGCTGAGATGTGGGAGGTCTGTGTGTTTTTACCCTCCTTAATCCTGACACACGAGCTACTGCCTCAGCAGGTTGTCTTGTTTTGATAGCAATGAGGGCAACAAAAAGTCCAGGTAATTGATGTATTATATTTTCTAATCACAGGCACCAGTAAAACCTTTTTGGTATCCAAATTTAAACTTTGTCTATTTCAGACCTTCCTTCCCTTTTCAAAGACTCTCCTGAAAGTAATTCCAGTTTTGAAATGAGTTATGTAAGCCTCACTGATGCCAGCACCTTAACCATAGGATAAAAAATTCGGTCTTGAAGGGGTGTCATAACATGAAGCTAAGGGCGTCACAGTGGAAGATAGTTCTGGCCAGGCCTAGCTGGTTTAAAGGGCACCACACAGTGCCTCTGAGAATACTTCATCTTTTTCAGTCTGTAGTTTTGATCTGTTGAACTTGGATTCTGTCCTCACCAAGAGTCAAAAAGCTTCAAGACCGAGCCTTTTCCACCTGAAAGATCCCAGTCCTCTTCTGAAATCATAAGCAAATGTTAGCCTCCTCTGTGCAAAGCAAACTGCTGAGGCAGAAAACAAAACACCAGCAGGAGCCAGGCAGCTAAGGCCTCATCTAGGCAGGATGTGAAATGTCAGGCCATTAGTCTTATATTTTTACCACAGTGGTTACAAGATGGGAGTAATGTTGGAACAAAACACAATACTGACTTTGGAGAATTCTTTTTTCCAGCCTTCAGTATTGACACCCACTCACCAGGCTTGAGAACTAGCAAATGCTACACGGATTTCTAGAGTGAGCAATAATTTCCCCTGGCCACCATTCCTTGGCTGTTGAATGCAGAAAAGTGTTGGGTCAGTGCCACTCAGCACATGCCCATGGCAGAGCCCAGTTTTCCATCTGGCTACGGTGCAGGCCTGTATTCATAACCACTAAGGTGGAAAGCTCAGAGTTCCTCCAATAATTGATACAACAATGAAACCAGACAGACAAAACTAAGTAATCAATGTGAGACAGAGGTATATATAACCTAGTGATAGGAGATGGCATTAGGTAGATGTTTGTATTTTCGGTACATTGCTAAGTCATCTAGTACATACACAGATCTCTAAATTTTTCTGTATGAAAATTCTGGTTGTAAACTACATTCTCTATATAATTTACTCAAACATTTAAACCCCAGAATTCTAGTAGCTAAGGCAGTTAAAACCAAAGTATGCAGGTGTTGCCCTGACTAGAGAGAAATACAACCCAAATGTTCTCAAATATGCTTCTATAGTGGAGAGAAAAACTTGTATGTTTGTGCCACTTCCTTCACCCTAATACCTCTTGAAAACATGCTAACGTGAGTAAGCTCTATCACAGAAGGGGTATAAACTGAATAAACTGAATAGGACCCAGGGCCCTACATGCATCAATGAAACCATTCCAGGAGGTCTTCACATTGGCAGCCTCACCCTGGCCAAAATTTCAGACAGACCCCTCCCTGGGAATTCTGGGAGGCCAGGGGTCAAGTTGTAAACTCCAAATGCTAGTGTTCAGATGTCATGGCCTTCCAGCTCTGGGTCCTCCAATCCTCTTCCTGGGAATTCTTGGGTGATCTTCCCTTTACACTGATTGGCTTTTCTCCTCCTGCTAGGGGGCAAAAATGACTGTGTGAAGGGCATCGTCACACGCAGTGCCAGAACCTCCTTCTCCCTACTTACCCAAAATAAGCATGCACACCCCATCAGTGAGACTGAGCCTTCGAGAAGAAAAGTAAAAAGTGAAATCTCACAAACACACATGGTTCTACTCAAACTATAAGCTTTTATTATATTTTACAGATCATTCATCCTGGACATGCTGTCTGTGGTTGGCATCATCTCATTTTTGAAATGACAGAACGCACATCAAAGTCTCTTGCCCATGCTGGACTGGTTTGCCCAGCAGCGAAGAGCTCTCACTAAGTGCAACGTAAGCGTGAACTTGGCGTGGGCAACAGCAGTGCCCTCCTCACTCCTGAGCTGCTGCCACATCCTCACTGGAGGTAAGTGGGTGGGGACTGAATTTTAGCTTGGACTTTAAGTTTCTGATTTTATACTTTTGATTGTTGTTTGGTCCATTTTTATAGTCTACTTTAAAATCAAAAGGTTGCCTACTCTAATACGATCATTGTGAATATGGAAATGTAATTCACATGCCATATTTCAAATCAAACAAAGAAAAAGGCTTCAATATCACGGTTCAGGAGAAACCGGAAAATTGTTCCATTTCTCCATTTTGCCACCCTGCTCTGTTTTCCCCCATAAACACTTCCAGCTCGGAAAACACCTCCCCTCTCAGACAGATGCAACAGTGGGAGGAAGAAGTAGAGGCTGGAGCTGCACTCTCCCTCTAATCTTGCTGAGAGTGTGGCTCACACCATCTCTCCGGGGCTGGGGGTGCGGTAAAAGGCTCACTGACATCTATGTGAAGACTATACAGCAAAACACAGAAAGATGCCGAAGGGGTTCAACTAAAGCCTGTCACTTGCTAATGTCAAAACTTCAGCATCTGTTCCAGCACAAGCACTGTGACAAACCTCCCTTGCCCAAAGATTATGGCCCTAGACAGACAAATCTGGATAAGAAATGTGAAGTCTAAAGTTGTCAGAATGCAAAAATAGAGCGGAGTTTGTGAAGTAAATTAAATGGTACTATGACCCTCACCTGCATGCAGGTCAGAGTGATGAAACTGGAGACAGGGTTGGCGAAGTGACTCAGATCCACAGAGAAACCCTCGGGATGCACAAATTGGATCAAGGGCACACACAGCTCATAAAAATAGCAACAATTTGGAATTTTCCTATCGAACATTTAGGAAACATGCCAACAGCAAGAAATGAGATGTCATCAATACCAACAGTTTGACCTGTCGGCGATGAACCTCTATGTCCTCAAAACAAAACAAAAGGTCAGTGCCTTTCCTGGGACCAAAACACACAGGCAGAGGCAAGGGGCGGGGGAAGCCAGCACAGGACAGCTGAAGAGGTTGAGAGCTAAGAATTCAACACAGAGAGGCAAGCAGAGAGAGGCCTTGACATTTTAAACCGCTGTAAACTAAGAGTTACGAAATGTTTAAATATTGGACCCCAGGATCGCTCATACTGCAGTAGAAATATATATTCCAAAACTCTACCAACATGTGTGCAACGTGGGGCACAGCTCCCCACGTGAGGTGCCTGCCACAGAGTGCCCAAGGCGTGCTCAGAGCCACCAGACAGAACAGTCTGATGCAAGCCCCACAGCGAATGATTTACAGTCCATCAAGAGTGTGTCTGAGAAAGGTCATCCACTTTGACCCCGAGGGAATTTGGATCAAGGAGGCATTTATCAGTGGAGGAAGATGATACCCCAACAGAACCTGTCAGATTGAGCCTGAGATACATGAAGTTTTTACAGCAAGAGCACTCTCAAAATCAGCTTGTGGATGGAGCTGCCCTTTTTATAACAAATTCTAAGAATTCATTTGTCAATGTCCTTCCAGATAAGAAATGATCTTTATTGTAACTTTTAATTGCAGAACTTCAGGCTGAATATTATTAGACACACACAAAATTACTAATCTCTGGAGTTGTCTTCCAAATCCCCTCAAAATTTCGCCAATGAGTTATGCCTCAAGGAATTTTCCAGTTTAACCTCACACACCAACTTGGAATAAATGGAGATACTGGTCTTTTGGTTTTACCTTAATTTCTAAAGTGCTATTACAGGTGGAATATTTGCCGTAGGAGACCATTTTTCCTGGGTTAGAATTCAAGTAAGATTAAGAAAGCCCAGGCTGGGCGTGGTGGCCTATAATTGTAGCACTCTGGGAGGCCAAGGTGGGAGGATCGCTTGAGGTCAGGAGTTTGACCAGAGTAAGAAAGCCGGGCACAGAGTTCTCGGTGGGGTTAAAATGTCAATTTGTATGTCTCCTGTCCCATAGGCTTTGTTCTCTTTCTCCTGTTTTGTTTCTTTTTATAGGCATTTCCTTACATGCGGCAATAAATATCCATCTTCTATTCAGAATCACATTGGCCAGCAGGTGGTTCAAATGAGTAAAAATGTTACATAGTAAGGTACTAAGTCTACGATAAGAAATCCAAACTCTGGGATTACAACTCAAAATAAACATTTCAAGGTAAGGAAAAAATTTACTTGGTTAGTGAAAAGCTTCTTTATAAAGTCATAATTGCAATCTGGACTTCTGCTTCATGCTATATCCCAAGACAAAAATTGGATAACCTACATCACACCCAAATGACGCACAGAGCACTCCTTCCTATTCCTCCCTCAGTGCTGAGAAATGACTCCCAAACCTGGAAGTTGTCACAAGATAATTGGTGCTCAGGGAACAACTGCCACAAGACCCAACCTTGATTAACACCAACCATTTCTTTAAATATGATGATACTATAGTGGAGGCCCCCACTAGGAGAAAGCAAGGATGTCAAAGCTGAGACAAGCTGAGAGCTGAGGTTTACCACCTTAACAGACTCAGACGACATGATGGAACAGTGAATACTGAAGCCAATAATCTGAAAATATCACTCTCATCTTCAAAACCCATCTGCCTTTTTTTTCTAATCAGGAAACCAGGGATGGGGGGAACATTTGCATATATTGCCCACCAGCACATTCTTCTTAACAGAAGTGAAGATATTTTGAGAATATGAAAAGCATTGCAAGACATCTGTTTTCAGGGATAGACCACAGCAACAGAAATACTTTTCAGAGTTGGTTTGTTCTAAAGTCTGTCTCAAGAACAAGGATAGCCAGCTTTCATGAGATACCAAGACATGTTCTGGCAAAAATATTTTCACTTTCCTTAAGTTATATGCTGTCAAGCTCAACTATTTTATATATATCCGATCCTTTTCTGTCAGTAAAAAAGAATCTTTTTTCTTAAAACTCCCAAATCAACAATATCTGTGTAGAATGAAGTAGAATTTGGGTTGTTTTTTATAATTCGAACATAGATGAAATCAAAAGGTCTGTAACTGTCTCTATATTGACATCTTCCAAAGGTCCTTTTCTCCTTTCACATGAATTCATCTGAATCATTGCCGTCCTGCAAGAAACAAAAAAGTGAAACTATAAAATTCTTGAAAATAAGTCACTCAGTATTTAAAATTTACAATTATAACCTTAACTAATCTCCAAGTTGAGAAAGTAAAAAATAAACCAAATTCATTCATTACTTCTTCACCATCTTAAATTGTCAGTTCCCTAGAACAGCTGGATTAGCAGCTCTGTTCTCTAGGGTGTCCTTGCATGGCCTAATTACACAGCAACAGGTGATCAATGACTTCCAAATTATGAAGTTTCGCCTGATTTAGTATAGTGTACTAAGTGTGACTATAAGAAAACATGACTGATCCTAAACGAACACTGTCTCAATACCCTTATGCCAACAATGCTGCCAATATATAAAATATTTCTGGCCTAAATTCCAGTATTTTGAGTCCAAAGCTTGTCACAGCTTTGTGACTTCACAAGATGGCCTTGATTTTTTTTCCTTTAATAGGAAAAGTCATTAGGACAGGAAAAAATGCCTTAGATAACTGTATAAAGAGCAGACTAATGACTGTGTTACATCCAGGCACCAGGACTGTGACTGCCTTAGAGTCCTAAACTGCAATGATAGCATTAGCGATGTTTGAAAGAGTCAACATATAGCATCTTCAAACGTCAGCTTTAGATCGCAAACACTGAGGTGAACAACTCAATAAGATAGTTAGGGTCGTTAACAATGAAAGTGCATCGTTTCCTGTAAAGGCTGTGACTTAGATCTGCAAAGAGTTTTCATTTGTCTGGGGACCTATGTTTTGGGATTACAGTAACTTTTAAATACATATCTGAGATCAAGAATTTATTTGAACAATTTTTCTATTTTAGATTCCCTTTACTTCCAGAGTCAGTAAGTTTTTCAATATAATAGGCCTGTCACCCCCTTACAAACTGATAAACAAGAGGAACAAGCTGCATTAAACATTAAGTCCTATCTTATATAAACGCCTTTAACTGAAAATCAACAGTTCCTGCTGCCAAATTGGATCATTAAATGTCTATACCCCTTAGAGGATGGCAGCAAGGAGAATTAAAGCCTATTCTTTCAAAGTACAGAGGAAAAACTAATAATATAAGAGCTCTTCCACTGAAAGAGGGAATAAAAACAACTAATGGGAAGCTTTGTTGGAATCTTGAACCTGATTCAAATCCAGAGCTCAGGAACAGGCTAGCAAACAACAGAGAGAGAGGAAGGGCCAAAAGGTTAGTAATCCTTTGGTTTATAAATTTCCTAGTCTTGGAACTTTTAACATTTGTGACTAATCAGACAGGGGGTGTGTGTGTGTGTGTATGTATGTATGCCTCAGGTCATAACATAATATAGGGCCAGATTTCTCGTGGAAAGTAGCCTCTACCACACAGAAAACTTCAATAAGCAACAAAAACCACAACAAAGACATCAGATTTGTGGTATGGTAAAGACTTCTGTTAAGCTATTCTAATAGTTTCTGTTAAACTGTTCTAATAGTTTCAAGAATTCTAAAAATAATTTCTAGAAGGAATTAAATAACATCATTTTTTGATACTGATACTTTGTGGGAAAACAGCAACCAAAGACTTTATGAGTAAAGAACAGCAATGACTACTTACATAGTGATTAAGTCAGGAAGACTTTCAAATATGTGTTCTTGTTTAAATTTTAGAATGGCCCTGTGAGGCACTATGTCTCCATTTTACTGATGATGAATACTCCCTCAGGTTAAATAACTTTACTAGACTTCCCCAATTAGTGTGAGTTTAAGTCTCTAAACTTCAAATTCAAAGCTTTATTTAATTACATGATGCTATTATGAAATTTTTCAGAAATAAATTATAAAGATACATCTCTTCATAAAGGAACCTCATAAATTTAATTCTTCATAGAGATGGGAATAAGAATGTTGTTCTTACGAATTTTTAGAAGGACATATAGAGATAAACAAGGTCTGAAATCCTATGAATTCTAATTCATGCACTAAATCTGGGGTTTGACTAGGTAACCTTTAAGAGATCTTAAAATCTATTATAGTTGGTCCTCCATATCCTTGGGTTCAACATCCATGGGTTTCAGCCAACCCAAATATCAAAAATATTTGGGTGGGGGATAAAACAAAACAAAACAAAATACACAATAAAAAATACAAATTTAAAAAGATACAGTATAACAACTATTTACATAGTATAAGTAATCTAGAGATGATTTAAAGTACATGGGAGGATTTACGTAGGTTATGTGCGAAATATACTAAGCTATATGAGGAACTTGAGCATCTGGATTTTGGTATCTGAGGGGGGTCTTGGAACCAATCCTCCATGGATATTGAGGGACAACTGTATTTTTAAATTACACTATAAAACATGCAATATCTCAAATATATCTACCCAGTTTCAATTTCCTACAAAGACTGTTCAATAACAACTAAATTGTGCCGTCTTTAAATACTTCAAAATAAGTTCTGGGAAAGGCAGCTCTGAAGGACAGTAAGTCTCTGACACAGTTCCAGTAAGATAATTAGATGTAGATGTGACAAAGATCCTGTCAGTGCTATGTTATGGGTCACCACTTCTCTTTATCCCAGGTCCTGAGGAACATGACAGCAACCAATTTTCTCACTTAGGCTACAGTATAAGACCTTAGGGTTAGTACTTTTATTTTAATTGAAGGTGGTAATTTTGTCCTGAATTACAATATAAGATCTACAGTCACATTAATGAAGAACATCAATAAAGGCACTTTTGCATGCCTGCAACTAGTAAAGAGGGAAAAAGGAGTGGAAGAAAGTCCTGTAAATACTAATAGACCCGTACTTCACAGCAGACAAGGTATGGCAATCTCTTTCCCTGAGGTGACCTACTTGAAAACACACTTGAGGAAGTCCACAGGGAAGGGGGGCAATGCCTAACAGAATCCAGCCTGAGTAAACTATTTGCGACATGTAAGTCAACCATGCCAGTAACACAATTATTAAAAACCCTTAGTGAATTATTTAAAGGCAAACATTAGAGCAAATAACTTAAACTTACCTGATTTGATGACATATTTTCAACTTTCATTAGTGATGAGTAGCTCCTAGAAGAAACAACACATTTAAAATAAGGTTATCTAGCCAACAAATATTTCATGAACATTTTACCTCATATCTAGTACTGCTGAGGGCTTTAGAAGAAACACAAGAGCTGTCTGATACAATCCCTGCCCTCATGGAGACTGAAACATTAAAAGAATAAATACCTATGAACAATAAATAAGATGTGTGTAGCGCTTTGTGAAGTGCTTTCTCCTACTCGTTTCATGTCACCTCCACAATAATTTTGCAAGGTAGGTGGCATCATTCCTCTTTTTCAGATGAGGACATTCACCTACAGCCAAGATGTGAAGTACACAGCCCAGGGCAAGTGCTACAGGAATTCAGAGGAGGAAACATCAGTGTGGGCAGGAACTGTCAGGGCACCTCACAGACAGGCGGACAAACCAAGCTGGGCCAGTGGGTAGGATGAGTGAGGGAGGCATTTCAGATCCAGAGAACGGGATGAGCAAAGCCAAAGAGACAATATCTATAATGACATGTCGAAGATCAGGCTGACTCAAGTGCATTCTAGAAGTAAAGTAGTGGGACATCAGGCACGATGTAGGGCCCGTTACGTCCCAATTGTGTGAGTGAACACTGTGTTCAGCAAGAAGCCACAATATGTGACTGAGTAAAAAGACATCAGATTTGATGGGTATGTATTAAATATCCATGATGTACAAGACCCTGTGCTAAGCCTGGGTGAAGGATGAGATGAGGAAAAAAACAGAAAATGATGAACAGAAAGCCTAGCCCCTAAAGAACGTACTAGGAGGGAAAACAAGACCTATTCAGCAATAGCTACAGTGAAAAGTACTATTAATAATAATAAAAACAAAAACACAGACAAAGGAAAGCAAGACTACATAATACCAGTTTTCCAAAAGAGTAATCTGTAGCAAACAGTAGAGAGAGGAGAAGAGAGGGAGGTTAAGGCAAGAAGCTAATCCCAGCTACCCATTCATTGATGATATATTGACTAATCACTCACCATATATGTGATCAGTATATATTTTCAAATAAGAGAATACAAGATTAAAGCAGATAATAGGCATAGATTTCAATCTCTTGGGTGGAAGATTCAAAGGCAGAAATTAATGTCACGCAAAGCACTACAAATGTATAAAAACAGATTACAAAATAAGTCAGAAGCTTATATCCTGTTGTTGGAATTTCACACAAGCTCGGAATCCAGCAGGCAACCACGTCTCTGGATATGCCTAGCAAATCCTTGATGTGTCACCATGTCCTATTCCTGGCACCACAGCCCTGTGTCACATTCTTCTGTCTTCTGTGGCATGTGACAGAAAGTTGTTTGTGTGGCACATGATTAACAGAAATAAACACACCAACTGTTTTTGGTTTTCTGAGGCCCATGGTGATGATTAAAAAATACAAATGACTAGTGCCAGCTTAGAAAAATGGGACTGATTAAACTTTTGGAGCAAAAATTTTATTCAGTAAGATTGAGAATTTCCTACCCTCCTCAGTTCATATGAATATTTTATATGTTGTTGACACTATAGAAGAAAGACCAGAAGATACGAAAACTGTTTTGGTTGATGGTTCTTTTGTTTAAATGCTTGCAACTTTTGAAACTAGTGAAGTCAAATTAAATGCCCTGAATTTTAGTAGGATACAGCTTAATTTGAATAATATCTGTAAATTACTTGATTTATACTAAATAACTATTTAAAACTGAATAGACTGAACAGAGGGCAGAAGAGTATAGTAATGTATGTGGGTGTGAGAATCAGATGACCAAGTGACTTTTAGCAAGTTACTTAACTTCTTCTCAAACTTAGTTTCCTCTTCCATAAAATGCAGATAAAAGTATCTGATATGGCTATGGTTAGAACTAAATGAGATAATACAGTAAAGCACTTTCAGTACAGTGCTTGGCAGATGGTAAATGTGCAAAAATGTTAGTTATTCTTCCTTACTAAATGTTACAAGTAAACTAAGTGATCTGTTACTAACATATAACATCATGTTCCTGAACAAAATTATGTTAGACCTGTAAAGCACACAAAAAGGCATATTTTCAATTTTCCCCTACTCTAAGCTAAAAAGAAAAAAGAATTAAACTGCTCTAAAATCCTGCATCACTCAGAATTCCACAAATCTTACCACATTCATGGAGTTGATAGTTTTTCTTTTACACAAAGCCAACTCACAATTCTAGGCCACATCAAATATTTAAATCTATGCATTAGTCTGCCTCATGTTAGCAGATTACAACTCAGGATAACAGTCCTGGAGCTCTTCATTTGAATATTACATTTTAAATGAACCTACTCATCGCATCTTAGTAGAACCCCAACAGAAACATGGGCATGTGGACAACAGTAACAGTATGGGCACATAATACCTACAATCTGACCCGACAAACGTTCTGAGAATCCAGGGTACTCCAAGGAAACTGCAGGAGGACATGGCAAGACAGCTTGTTTGGCTCCATGCCATTCCCAAAGGCAATATGTGTTATCAGTAACTCTTTCATCTTTTTGGTATACATATTGCAAATGATATCTATGGAAACTTGTGGAAAAATCTAGGAGTTCTGTGACTATTAATTGCAGGATGAATTTTCTTTAGTTAGAAAAACTAGAGGCTGTTCAGGTACAGCACTGTTTATACAGATTCAGTGTGGTAGGCAGAATGACACCATCCCCCAAGCCCTGCCCCAGAATGTCCACAACCTAGTCTCTAGAACCTGTAAACACGTCACCTTTATGGCAAAATCGACTTTGCAGATGTCACTAAAGACCTTAAGATGGGGAGATTATCGTGGACGATCTAATCATATTGTTCCTTAAAGGCGGAGAAGGCAGGGGTCAGCGAGGGGGCTGTGACCGTGGAATGCAGTGTCGCTGGCTTCAAAGATGGAGGAAGGGCCACAAGTCAGGGAACATGGGCAGCCCCTAGAGCCTCCAGAAAGGAACACAGCCCTGCTGACACTGTGATTTTAGCCCAGTGAGAACCTTATTGGGCTTCCAATCTACAGGACTGTAAGATAAATCTGTGTTGCTGTAAACCACTGAATTTGGGGCAGTGTGTTTCAGGAGCAATAGAACACTAATGTAGTCGGTATTCTCGGCCTTATTCACTAGAATTTCAGGAACTAAACTGTATTTTAATTGTTTACTGTTTACAAATGTAGTACTTTGGAGCAGGCCTCACTACATTAATTACTTTAAACTTTCAAAATGTAGAAAATGGGTTTTAAAAACAGCTTTGAGAGTTATTAGTGTTGGCCTTTAGAGCCAAGACAACTTTATTCAAATAGCATAGCTAGTCAATATTAAATACTTATTAAAGCATCTTTTCCTTTCCTGAAGAACTTTATAAACCAGACTTTAAAGATAACCTATGAAGGCTTATCTGAGAATAAAATTGTTTTATTTCAAATACTCTCATATCTTTTTCCTATAAACGAGCAATTCATTTGAACAGCAATTAACATAAATGCTTTTATTTTAACCCACTTAAGTCTCTGAGCTTGTATTAATAATAGGTCCCTCCTTATACCCACATATCATTCTTGAGGGTTAATCCATGATTAAAATCAGCAGAAAACAATCTTTGACGTCAATTTCCATACTGTAGCTCCAACATACCTAAGTTCATCCATTTCCCTCTTCTTCTTCATTTCTTCCTTTTCTCTCCTTTTCATTTCCTGAATTTGGGCTTTTTTTTCATTCCTCTCTTCACGATCTCTGCATTCCTTCTCTGCTGCTAGGTCTGGGAACCGCTCCATTTTGGTCTTTTCTAACCGGTTCAGGATCTCATTTACTTTCTTCTCCACTGTCACAATTTTTACCTTTAAGGGAGACAGGGGAAAAAATATTGCATCTTTATTTTTGTTTTTCTCCCAGAAGAGGGGCAAGGCTTTCCAGGGGTTTAGCAACCCAGTTTAATTCCCTTTAGAAAACATACATCACGCTCAGCCCTCAACAACAATGGTGTCAGACAGGAAAGATGGATAGGACACTCCATTCAGTATCCAGACTCTGCCGCCTCCAGTGGTGCCAAACACTTACATCCTTTTGCCTGTGAAAGCCTATCTGCCCCACATCCATGTCAGCTGTTTTCTTCAGGTTAGACCACGGCGTATATACCACATTAACGTTGTTCATCTTGCAGCCTGCCAAGAGAGACTGTCTTCAACATGCAGGCAGGATGAGACTGAGCCATGTGTTCCCCTACCCACTGGCAAATTATCATAATCCAACAAGGGAAATGGCTTCCAACGAACAAGCCACCCACTGTTTCAAACCACCAAATACTGTTTCAAAAACCACCCACAAAAGGCAAATGGTAAAGTGGCATTAAACAAAATGCAAATGAAAGTATTACAGTGGAAAGTTGGGGTGCATGGATTAGCTCCAAGGACTTCAGAGAACTCCCTAAAATTGAATGCAAAATTTATCATGTGCATTTTTTCAAGAGAAAAGGACTGAATACATTTCCTCAGGTGCTCAAAGGAGTCCTCAACTCAATAAGGGTTGAGCAGCAAGAGAAAGCCGTGGCCAAGGATTCATGAGACCTGGACTCCGTCTGGGCACTGCCACAAACCAGCTGTGCCACTCTGGGAAAGCCCCCGCAGCTCTCTGAATCTCAAATGAAACATGAGGAAATTGGACTAGTTTAATAGGGTTTTGTTCATTGCTTCTTTTAGCAGTGAAACCCTTTTAATGAAGAGAACATAAAAGACATCAAAGCAGAGATGCTCTGGACAAAAGGGGTGCCGGGTCCCCTGTTCATCTCCTTCTGTCCCCTCACACCACTCCCACCACACATGTGCCCTCGGGCCACAACAGCTTCCAGGCAGCTCTGAGATTCACAGTTTAATCTTTGGTCTGATGCGCTCTCCGGTCTGTCCAAATGAGACGGCAGGAGATTTCAACGTTTATTAAATCCTCATGTACACTGGAGAAAGCTGGTGACCACCACCTTACCCAATCAAAGTTAACATCAACAAAAATGGGGCAGAATGACATCACGTGCCATCTGACTGTAATGTGCAAAGCTTCACTTATGTAGTATTCCTGCCCCAAAACGCACAATGGGATTCTTATCAAGAGGAAGCATCAGATGAACCCAAACTGCAGGATACCCTACAACTGCTCTACACTCTTCAAAAGAGTTTCCTTTTTCCTGGATCAGAAAAAAGGAAATGCTATAAATGGACAGTAGTGGGACAACTGCAAAACTTAAATATGGGCTTTATATCAGATAATATTAACAGTATTCTAGCCATGTTAAATTTCCTGAATTTGATCACAGTTACTTAAGATAATGTCCTCGTTCTTAGGAGATACATGTTGAAGGGCCATGATGTCTATGATTTTCTTTCAGGTGGTTCAGCTAAAAAAGTTAATAATGAGTACACTACAAGTAGTGGGAAAGCAAATAAATATGGAAAAATTTTAAAAATTGGTGAATCTGAGAAAATGGGATATGGGAGTTGTGTTTTTCCTACAATTTTTCTGTATGTTTGAAAGGTTTTTTTTTCAAAATAAACTTTTAAAAAAAATCTCTATGTGCCAGGCACCGTGGGTAATACACACAGGATGAAGCAATGGACCCTGCCTTCCAAGATGCTAAAGGAGGGGAGGTAAGCACATAAGTAACTTCAGTTAAAAAGAGAACTGGTCAAATCCTGGTGGAAAGGTATAGGTAGAGTGCTAAGGTGCTACAAAGGCAGCAGGAGCCACTCAAAACTGGGGAAGGAAAGAAAAGGCTTCATGGAGGTTAGTGAGCTCAGTGGTTAAGACAGAACACCTCAGAGTCAGGCAGTCTGACTTCAAATCCAGTCTCTACTACACTTCAGAGCTCTGAAACCCTGGGCAAGTTCCTTAATTCTCTTTAAGCTTAGTTTCTTCCTCTATAAAATGAAAATAATAATAATATCAAGCTCTATTACAGAGTTGAAAAATAACTTGTGATGTTTTAAGCATAGGGCTACGCATGTAATCAACACTCCATCAATGTCAACAATTACTACCATTAATTACTACAACTACTATGTGGACCTTAAACCTTAGCTTGGATCTGGACATGTGATGACTAAGGAGGACAAACCCAAGGGCAGAGGGAACAATATACACAAAGGTACAAGGTTGGAAAACGGCATATATTTGCTTTGGCTGCAGTGTAAAATATGCGAAGGGAAAGAAGTCTGTAATCAGATCACAGATGCTTAAATGCCAGCTTCAGAAGTTAGGATTGAATATAAAGAGGCCATGGTGAGTTACAGAGTTTCTAAACTTTTAGATAGTTTAGTCTGGCAAGATCCATTGGGTGAATGTAGAATAGGCTGATTCTATGACAACAGACAAATTTAAACCCAACTCCCTTGGTTCTGAGCACTGAAAGTGGTCAACCAGGGAGGAAAATTTTGTAGCTACACAGTGTCCTCTACAAATCCCACAACAAAGACCATTTTCTTCACTCCTTAGCAGATCCTCTGATATTAACTCATAAGAGTAAGACCCTTGGGCTTAGCTCCTGATTTCCCTAGGTGAGCTGACACTGTGGAAGGATGAAGAGGAGAGAAAAGAGTAATCTACTCTCATGACTCTTCCCTCCTCTTTCTGTTTTCTCTAGAACTAGTAAACTATAAGGAGACTTAAGAAAAAAGAAGCTGGGCCAAGAATAAGGAGTCCAGAGCTCTTTTAACAAAGGCATATCTGCCAGCTGGGGGTGCATGGGAAGAGACAAGGACATGTGCAGGAAATTGGAACACAGAAGAAAAGAGGATACTGATTGTTTTAGTTCTTATTTTTTATTTCATTAACTGAAAATCTCAACCAAAATTTTAAAATCTGTTCTACTTATAAAATGGAATGTCCTAAACCCATTACAATTTGTTGATTTATAGTTGAAAAGTGAGTGGCTCTAAAGGCAAGACTTCTACCTTCTTTGGCTAGGTCCCTGATTCATTATTAAGGCTGACTAAGTTAAGATTGGAGAAACACAGTCTACAGGGACAGGGGTATGGCTCCTGTTTTATAATCACCACCCTCTGGTACCTGTTATCATCTATGGGTCTGTCCTATGTTTATCTTCTACCCAGACCATATTTCTTTCCAACTCTCTGATCATCCCTCAACTTCACATCAAACCACAGTTACCCCTATTCTATCTAGGTCTACACCTAAAACCCAATCCACTGGATCATTCTTAGAGTATTATGCCCTGGCTGCCTCTCTTAGCCACTACCTTTGCCCCAATAATCATCCCTCTTGACCTTTAATGACTATTAGATGAAATCTTGTACAGTAGAAATAAACAAGCACCAAGCACAGTAAGCCAGGCCCAACCTAAAACACCTAGGCCAACTGTTCTCAACCCACGCTGCACATCAGAATCACCTGGAGAGCTTTTTAAAAATTGCGACACTCAGGGACCACACCAGACGAATTAAGAAAGATTCTCTGGAGGGTAACAAAATCAATTGACTTGATACTGTCATAATTTAAGGGAGAAAAAAGATATGTAAAGGGAAGAGGAGAAAAAGTAGAAAAATGTGATTTGGAGGCTCTAGTTTTGGAATCTAATGACAAATAATGGAAATGAAGACATCAAACAACATTAAAAATGAAGCCATGAGACACGTCTCTCTTGCTTAGCTATTAACATCACCAAATTTCCAAAAGTCCCTTTACAAATACCCTTCAGGGTAGGCATATCTAGACAACCTCCTATTCAAGGTAAGTTAACAGAGTAAAAAGAGCTGAGACTCAGGACCATGAAAATTAGAGGGGTGGGGAGATTAGATTTTACTTCTTTGACAGGCAGCAAAATTGCCATCCATCTTAAAGAACAAAACAGGGCAAAAACTAAATTATGTGTTATTCCTTCAGCACAAGCCAAAGTCAATAGCATGTTCTCTAAAAGGTAATGCATTTCAGACATAAAGTCAGTGCTAATTCTAAAAACACCACTAGGAAAACTGACCTTGAATGCTATTAGCCTTCACAAGATGGGCACAGTCCATCAGCACTTCCTTTGGAATGTCTTCTATATTCTCTCCCTGAAACACAAAAATAAGCCAAATGGTCCACGACCTCATTATTAATTCATACTGGAGCACCCAAAGGGCATTTGCTGCCTTCATGATTTTATTACAAGCAGAGGCTCTTTAATTGTATTACAGAACATTGAAAAATGAAGTGAATTTACTGTGGCCATTACGGGAATGTTTATTAAAACTAAGAGAAGGCAGTAATATGGAAAATACTGACACCCAATAGGTAAAAAAAAGAGTACGGAAGAAAACTGCCAAAATATTAACTATGTCTGACTAATTTTTGTTCTCTTTCTTCTCATTCTTCTAGAAACCTTGTGGGGAAATGGTGCCTATTTCTTAAAACTGGATGGATGTCTTCCTGGCTGAGGTACCTACAACCTTCCTCCTGCCTCTGAGAGACAACTTGTAGTTCTGGATCTCAAACATCTGGTAGGTCATCTATCCTCAACCTTAATCAGGAAAAAGCTCTTCCTTCTGTTTGATCTCAACCATTCACTATAAGGGAGAAATAACAAAGAAGTAACATTGATTCTCTTCCTCTATAGAAATATATATCAAAACCAAAGATGACTAAGGGAAGCGATTCCAAAAGAACAAAAATATTTCAGAGGCAAGAGCAAGTGGAAATCGATTTAGTACTGACTCCTACTAGACGTGGGGTTATAGAAACACCTGTCTGGAAATATAATAAAATAGTCCATCTAACTAAATATTTGAGATGTTTATTCCATTATGTTCCTAAATTTTTTTCATTTTAAATGGAAAATTCTCAAATACATAAATTTTGACCAAAAAATAAGTGATCTGAGTTTGTCACTATTTTAAAGATACATCTCATCCTGTGCATACCTCCAACCATTTAAAGAGGATTTTGAATTTAACATCTTAATAATATAATGTCATTACTATGACTATCAACCATTATAGTAGGCCATAATATAGTGATAGGGATATACAAAAGCTGACTGACCTTGTACTTAATAAAACCAAAATGAATAATTAAAAAAAACCCCAGCCATCACTTTCTGCCTACCATATGCCAGGTACCAAGTAAATAGCCATAGAAATGGGATAGCATTATCCTCACTTTGCCCATGAAGAAAGTAAAACGTAGTGAGGTTAAGTAACTAGGCCAAGGTCTCCATATCTAGTGAGTGACAGAGCAGAAAGATGAACCCAGGTTTAAAGCCAAGCTCTAAACCTGGCTCAGACTGTGGTGCTTACAGGGTTCTGTGGAACCACATGGTTTCTCGGTCCTTGATGCCTGGCTGTGTCCCGATATCTCTTCTTACTATTAACACCAGTGGCTGTCACTATTCCTAAAGCAATCTCCTCTTGTTTGGCTACTTCCAATATAATATGAGCAGACCAAAATAATAATAACAATAAATATAAAATCCTCCAGTGCTAAGCTGGAGGATTAAGTCAGAGTAAGCGAGCTCTATCTAAGTGGAGGGTCTAAGGGACTCCCAATATGTAAAGGCCAGAATTTTGACTGTGGGGTTTGTGCTGTGTTAATAAAATAAGAAACCCCTAGATAGGTAAGATTTTTCTATGGGTTTCAAAATCAAAGCCTAGGAAAGAACATTGCTGAATATCTATGACCTTCAAGGTATGGGTTGAATTCAACTGAATTTAACAAAAGCATTAACGTATAGCCCTTAGCTCGTGCCAGGCATTATTCTAAGTGCTTTAAGATATGCTAGCTCATTTTGTCCTCACAGTGACCCAGTAAGACACATGTGTACAAGCACTGTACTTTCGGTGATAAAGCTGTTTTTCATAGATTAACAATTCCAGTACCTGTGCATGTACTGGAGTCAAATAAATAAGTCCATGAAGAGGGACAGTGGGAGGCAGGCTTCTCACTGTCTGCGGGGGTTACAGGTGAGCTAGGGGAGGCTGGAATGAACTCTGTAGTAAGGGACTGCAGTCAGAGACATCAGTATGAGCTCACGTTTAGCTTAACAGACACAGATGGCGAGATACGGAAGCAGTTATGAATATGTGTGTACACATGGGTCAGTATACATACGTGTATTTCCTAGCTCTGCCACCTGAGGAGGCCTGGAAGCATTAACACTCTAGTGGCAACAGGCACACTCAGAGTCCAGATGTTGATTTGGAAACACCATTTACTGATAAAGGGAACAAGGGTTCCTTAGAGAAATGACTGATTCTAGAGCTGGGGCAGGGAAAATGCAAAATGAGCTTAGAGTAATTCGTCATGCCAGAAAGTAAGGACATGCTCAAAAACAAAAGGATGGGGCACGTCAGAGCAGCACAGGAGCCAAGCTGAAAGGGCTGCAGCCAACGCTGGAAGAGTATCAGCAACAAAAATCAGTATCAGAATATAACTCAAAGTATGAGTCCATTCTCATGCAAATAAATGAGTGAATAAACAAATGGGGGAGAAGAGACAAATCTTCCTTCCAGAAGAATTCCAAATAATGTATGTAGACACTCCCCACTCCAGGAAGTGGAGCCTAATTCCACTCCCCATCCCCTTGAGTATGGGCTGGACTTGGTGACTTGCTTCCAGGTAACAGAGTAGGAAATGGAGAGAAAAGCAGCCTGACAGTGCAGAAACCTGGCAGACACCACCCTGGCCAGGCACTCCGGGTTCCCACCATCAGGGATGAGTCGTGTCAATCATGCACCTCCTAATACAATGGGATGAGAAGGGCACTTCACCTTTGTGGTATTCTGCCCCCCAAACCCATAACTCCAGTCTAGTCATGAGAAAAAGATCAGATAAACCCAAATTGAGGGACATTCTACAAAATACCTGAGCAGTACTTCTTGAACTGTCAAGGTCATGAGAAACAGGGAAAGAATGAGAAACTATCACAGACCAGAGGAGACTGGGCAGACATGACAACGAAATGTAAAAGGGCACCCTAGACTGGATCCTGGAACGGAAAGAGGACACTAATGGGAAAACTAGTGAGATCAAATAAAGTCCAAAGTCTGCTTAATAATGTGCCAAGGTTAGTTGCTTAGTTTTGAGAAATCCACTGTAGTAATGTAAGATGTTAACAATGGGGAAAACAAGGTGGGGTGTATGAGAACTCTGCATTATCTGTGCAACTTTTCTATAAATCTAAAATTATTCCAAAGTAAAAAGTTTACTAAAAAAAAGCAATACAGAATAACAAGCATATATACCATGTGATTCAACTATATAAAACACAGATATAGGCAGATTGGAAAAACAGTGTTATTTTATTACTAGTGGACATTTAATCTTTTCTCCTTTATTATTAATACTGTTATGCTGCTTTAAACTTCCCAAAGAAGCCCCTAACTGGGAACATCTGCCCTCAGGGAGGCAGGAGCCTAAGAAAATGGAACCACAGGTGATGTCCATTGGAGAAGACAGAAAGTCCAACATCTGAAAGGGAAAGAAAGCAGAGGTGACAGACAGCACACCTGAAGCGGCAGGACAAGGCAGTGCTTCCAGCCGGGAAATATGTGCTACGCCCCTTCTAAGTCTCAGGAATCACCCAGAATTTACCATAGTGACTTAGAGAGCTCTTCATTTGCTAACTTTTAGACTTTCACACATATTTATTACTTCAAGCAATTTAATTGCAGAAAAAGGATAAAGAACAAGATAAGATGCTCATCAGGAGAAAAGGTCATGAATCCAATGTTTAAATTCAGTTACCTTATGTAATCGAAGGTATACATGAGCCGAAGAGAGTTTGTCCACATGAAACCTACAAAGAATGAAAACCACTTTTAGCAAGAGGTACAAGGTATCCATCTCCTCAAGCCACTTGCATTTAAAGCACTCCATGCCAAAAGGTGTTCACTCAGGGCCTACCACATGCTAAGCACCAGAGGGAGCACAGAACACCGTCGCCATCTCCAAAGGGCTCACTGCCAACCCGAGGTAAGGTGAACATTGGAAGTTATGTAGCTGTGTGTGATTAAGTGCCCAGATCAGTAGAGATAATCAATGTTAAATGCACGGGTAAAGGTGATTTTTCAAGTGATAAAAAGAGCTATCAATGACCAAAGGCTTCATGGAAGACCTGAGATTTGGTTGGTCCCTGACTGAAGCATAAGACTTAGAGGAAAACAGGAAAAGGAATTTCAGGTGAGAAGAGAAGGGAATGAAAGAAGTCAGTGAGACTCCAATGTTGCAAGCCTGGGAGACTTGCAGGACCACAGTTTGCAGGAAAAGATGAGGGTTTTGTTTGGGACATCCTGAGTTTCAAGCAACTGGATGACAATCCAGAGAGAATGTCAAGTACAGACAGAGTTGGAAGAGTTAAAGACACTAAGCAGAACACATCATTAAACTGGCCATCCCAACAATTCATCCAGCCCTGTATTCTGACAATGATGCTAGTATGCATCTCGGGGGGTGAACACTGCCTCTTATGACATTGCCCTAAAAACATTCAGAGTGTCCCTCACCCCAACATCGTAAATCTTCCTCTCATTAGGGCTCCATCATCTATCAATTTAATTAATTAAATCTATTAAAATCTATGCAACATTATGGGATATTAGATTTTTCATGTTTACAATTCACGAAATGAAGCTGGCTTTCTGTCTTTCTAAAAATCCTGGCATCAAACAACAGACGACACATGACTGTCACTTTGTGATTCTGTTAACTTCAGTCATATTGCTTCCTTAGTCCTTTCCTTTCCAGATGGAAGAATGTTCAGTAAAACCTTAAAGTCACCATTATATCCCATTATATATTTCTCTAGACATTTTCTTGGCATTCATGAACTTTTTAGAAGTGAAATGGTCACACACTCGCATCTAGTACAAGATGTAGACAGTATGAGTCCATGTAAAAGTTAAATGGTCACACACTCGCATCTAGTACAAGATGTAGACAGTATGAGTCCATGTAAAAGTTAAGTGCCCACTTTAAAGAGGTTAAATATCTTTGCTATTCACTTTGGATACAGAAAAATATTAGGCATTTTGGCAAATAGTTTATGATGACTCTAGGTTTTATTCTTAATCATTACTGATAGCCTGAAATGGACATAACATCCTATTTATGTTTCTCCATGTGGTTCATTTACTCATTTGCATTCTCATATGAGAGATTTGTAATAATTATGACCTTTAGCTGGGCATTTTCTACCCAGAAAAATCTGTGTTTTTTGCAAATCTAAATATTACATCTCATTATCCTCTTTCAGAATCTTAGGGAAATACCACACTGGTAACCAAGCTCTAGTGAGAACTAACTTCACCCATTCCAACTTATACTTGAACCAAAACACACAGGAATACCACTGCTGACATACACCAACTTCACACCAATTTCAGGTTTGTACAAGGTAGGTACACCTCTGCAAAGGGCAGGGGGAATGGATGAAAGTATGGGGCTTTGGTTGAAATGTTTAAAGAATCCAGCTCTATGAACAAACTATCTTGAGCAAGTTTCCTTAAAAAACAAAAAACAAACTTCCTAAACCTCCCAAAATGCTTACTCCAAGTTTAAATTATGACTACTAGTTCCTCTTGTCCTTCTCATCTTCCTCTCCCTGCTTAACCTGTTATCCTTTACTGAATGCCTGCTCCCAGGCTTGTGAGCAAACCCCAAGACATCATTCCCAATTTACAGGGTAATTATAAATGAACGGAACTGGCAGTCAGCTATTTTACCACTGGACACCCATAAACAGAAATATAAAACGCAAGTTCTAGTTTTAATCACAGCAGTCAGGTGATTGGCCAGTCCAGGAAAGCAAATGATGATACACAGAAAGCAGAACCAAAATTGTTACTTACCAAATATCTTCAGGCCAGCCGTATTTTATCAGATCTTCATCTACAATGATACGAGAATAAAGAAAAGATAAGAAACACTGTCAAATGAAGATATGCCAGGGTTTATAATAAATTAAGGGGAGAAATACCAATCTCTTCCATAATTTTTTCTCTCCCTTAATGGAGAGGAGAGTAATATAGAGAGTCCTTGATGCTTGAAAGTATAGAAAAATAAAAATAATTTTCACAATTGAATATAAACTTTATAATTTTTTAATACTTCTAAAGCTCAAAGATATTTATATTTGATGATGATAAAACACTGACAAATCAGGGCTGCTGAGAAGTCAGATGATGTCTTAGAAAATCGATTCACTGTAATAATACTTAAATGTTAAAATGGTTTTGCTGAAACTTTTTTTTATATTGTTTTCTCTGAGCCAGAATCAAGGCAGCCTTTCACTGGGAGAAATACATAAAGCCCTGCCCCCAGGTACACAGTGCAACACCTGCACAACCATGTGTAGTAGCTCTGCTTTTGTGCTTCTCAGTAACCTAAGTCTGGGGTTCTCACCTCTGATTTGGTAGAAAAACAGATTAGGTCAGAAGATTTGGATTCACATCCACTGTAGATAACTATGACTTACTACTTTGCCTTATTGTTCAGTGTAACACAGGGAGATAGCATCCCCTCCTCAGCTGTGTTAGGAGTACTCTTTAAGAACAAAAACTACCTATGATGATTTATGGGTTAGTAGGAGAAATATAAAACTCAAGTATTAATATGCTGCAGACTGCTTCACCATTAAGTCACACCCAAAGTCAGTGTCAAAAATTCATTATCAGGAAAAAGTGTTCTTTAAACTTAAAATTCATTAGTGGGCCAAAAAATTTGTTTAGCAGGTTGAGACTAGCTTTTTAAAGTGAAATAAAACAGAAATAGAGGGTAATCTCTATTTACCCTCTATAGCAAATAGTATGGGTAATTTATATAAACTTTTGTTCTAGTTATATGAATGTGTACATCAAAATATAATGTATTTCACACTGAGGAGAGTGGTCAAAGTCTGAAAAAACATTTCTTGACTCAAAAAGAACATCTTCAGCCTCAAAAAAACCAAAACATATGTTTCCAATAATTTAAAAAATGGTTTTAAAAAAGCACAAAAAAATGATCCCTTCAAAATCCAAATGACAGAGGATTTTCATTTGGTCTAATAAATTAGCACAGGTTAACCTCTGATTCACATTACTCTAAATCAAATTCTACAAAACTCTTTGTAAAGTTTCTAATCAGAAGATGGACCAATTAGTTCAAATATTATTTGACATAACTAAACTCAAAGGAAATTAGTCCTTTGGAGTTCCTTGTAATGGGTGTGACTTGTTTCCCAAAAGCTAAGTTATCAAAATAGTTGAAAACTGATATCCAACAAACTTTAGGGGTGGGGGAGCAGGAGACAACACTTACCTGCTGGAAATTTCAAAATCAAATGCTTTTGAAAACTTACTTTCATATTTATCCTTTCCCATGTAAATAGTGTAAGCAGATGAATTAACTGTGACAAAACAAAAATAAAAAACAATTAGATAAACTTCATCACTAACAAAACTGTTTCATGGGAAAAACTAGGGACAATGCTTAGCTCAGGGGTCAGCAAACAATGGCCTGTGGGCCAAATCCAGCCCACCACCTGTTTTTGGATAGCCCTTAAGCCTGCAATGTTTTTACATTTTTAAAGGATTGAAAAAAAAAATAAACAAAGAATAGGCTATAGAGACTGTATGTGGCTCACAAATCTTAAAATACTATCTGGCCCTAACAGAAAAAATTCACCAATCGTTATAAATGGCTACTCTCCTACCTTCTTGAGGATATAGTTCAATGGCAATCTCTAGTTCAGTCCCATACTTTTGCACTCTTCGGGTGTTAAAACAAAACCAAAAAACCTTACTACATCTCAACCATTTAGAAACAGGTTCCTATGCTTACCCAAGTTTTATTTTGCCTAATTTTGTTTAGCCAATATAACTTATATTTCAGGTGTGCTGCAGATTCTGAGGGGCTCCCTGTCCCATTCAGTGGAAGTATGGCTCTCAAACTTGAGTGACTCTGAACCCTGCTTATACATTAGAATCCTCTAACTACGCCCCAGCTCCACCT